TTCCACTTTGAGGCAGGGGCCTCTTATTTCTCATGCTTAGATTCAGTCTCCAAGACACCTGGTCTTCAAGCTTCTGGGGTAATTCTCCTGTCTCTGCCTCTAACCTCACTATAGATCTGGGATTACAGGTGCCTGCTGCCACACCCCATTTTTTGAGACCCGCCTGCTTCTGCCTCCCAAGCTCTGGGATCAAAGGTGTGCACCACCACCACCTGGCCAGTCACACTCCATTTTTATAGTGGGTTCCGATCTGAACTCAAGTGGTCAGTTTATGTAACAAGTTCTTTTCTTCTCTCTTTTTTCCTTTCTCTCTCTCTTCTTCCTTTTTCTTTCTTATTTTTTTTTTTTCCCGAGACAGGGTTTCTTTGTGTAGCTTTGCGCCTTTCCTGGAGCTCACTCTGTAGTCTAGGCTGGCCTCGAACTCACAGAGATCCGCCTGCCTCTGCCTCCCCAGTGCTGGGATTAAAGGCGGTGCGCCACCACCACTTGGCTTTTCTTTCTTTTTCAAGGCAAGGTTTCTTTGTATAGCCCTTACTGTCCTGTCAGGTCTGTAGACCAGGCTGGCTTGAACTCAGAGATCTGCCTGCCTCTGCCTCCCAGGTGCTAGGATTAAAGTTGAGCACCACCAGCACCAGGCAGAACAAGTGCTTTTTAAAATTTGTTCTTCACAGATGTGTACTGGAGACAAACTGGGGTCTTATATGTGAGATCAAAGGATATGCATTTGGTCCTCACCTGTAATATCAGTGTTCTGGAGGGTGAAGCAGGCAGAAGGGTCACCAACATTCTGAGGCCGTGAGCTGGAGAGATGGCTCATAGTTTGGATTTTAGCATCCACATGGCAGCTCACAACCTTTTATAATGTCAGTTCCAGGGGATTCAACACTTATTCTGTACCAGGCATATACATGGTACACCTACATACATGCAGCAAACACACACATTATAGAATAAAATGAGTAGGAGGTCAACCTGGGCTACAGTGAGTTCTAGACTAACTTGGGCTACAGAATGAGACCTTGCCCCACATACAGAAAAATTAATGTACTGAAACATGCACCATAAGATGTCATGTCAGGAAAACTAGGACACGGGACATATCTTGAAGGTTGGTGAGATGCTCAGTGGATAAAAGATACTTGCTGCCAAGCCTGTTTAGGCTGACTTTGACCTACTCCCATAAGCTGTTCTGATGTTCACAGGTGCACTGTGATGTGACTTTTCCCCCCACAATACATTAAAATTAAAAAAAGTCCCTTCTATATTCTTTCCCCCTCTGGTATTGGAGATTGAACTCAGGGTCTTTCTGGAACATGCTGGCTCCAAACTCTCCCCGCCTCAGCCTCCTGACTGAGTGGCTGGGATTACAGGTGTGTGCCACCGTGTTCAGCTTTTGCTTCTGTATTCTGAAATGTCACTCATAGGCTGTCTCTGATCTGCTGGGACATATGCTAATTTCCTATGTAAGATGAGGTCAATCCTCAGAACTTGCAGGAGCCAAGTGGGTAATAAGTATATGGACTGATCCGGTTTGCGGCTTTGCCAACAAGGGTACCCACACCTGCTTGGAGGTGGCAGCTGCTGTCTCGCACTCTGGCCCACTGTCCCCATGTCCCTCCTGTTGACACATTCTCAAGTCTTTATAGAGTCTAGTTGCATACATTCTCATGTGAAACCTGAGTTTTAAATGTGGTCAATATAGGACAAGATTTAAAAACTCTATATACTCAAAAAGCAACCTGCCTCAGGGCCAAGCCTGGGCTGGTGACCCTCGGCATAGGATGCACTCTGATTTCTGCCGTGCATGCTATGATGCTATGACAGTACCATTGGGACCTTCAGGTAAATGCCTGTTCTTCTATCATCAGGACCCATTCTGCTGGACAAGGCCAGTACTGACCTGAGGAAGAGCAGGGCTGATGATGTAAGGATTCTTCCCGGAAGCCTGGAGTATACAGTGGAAGAATGTACCTGCGAGGACTGTGTCAAGAGCAACCCTAAGGTTGATTCTGACCATTTCTTCCCACTTCCAGCCATGGAGGAGGGTGCAACCATTCTTGTTACCACAAAAACGAGTGACTACGGCAAGAGTGTGCCAACTGCTTTGGAAAGTGTCCCAGGGATGGAGAAAGCAATTCTTTCTAGAGAATGAACCTCTGTCTGGTATAAAGCCACTTTGAGAACCCTTGCCACAGGGAGAGCTGATGCTTTTGATGTCTTTAGGATGACTGTTTATTAGCTGGGAATATAGCTTTTGTCCTTTAATTCTGAACTCTTTACATTATATTCATCCCCCATCTTATCACTGGGAGCTTAACTGTGGAAGGTTCCTTGGTTTTATTTGAATTTTTGATTCTCTCTTAAAAAAAAAAAAAAAAAAAGGAAGCTCTATGAGCCCTAGAGTATCATGTTTCTATGGAGGCGCGCACGCGCGCACACGCACACACACACACACACACACACACACACACACACACACACACACACACACAGTCATGGTGTATTTCAGGACAAACCGAATTCTTCTGATGGCCAGAGGAAGCAAGGTTATCCTGTGTTTTTCTGTAAATAGGAGAAGCCAGGCCAATTTGGTGTGCCATGCACACACACACACACACAGGCTCTCCAGGTTTCCAGCTTATGGCAGCAGCAGACATTAGTATGCGTAAACAAATGCATGTGTCATTGCTAACGGTGACAAACAGGAACCTGGTACTGCTTTCAGCTCAAGTGCAGGTGTGTGTGTGTGTGATCACTTATGTAGGCTTAATGGTGCCAGAGACTGCTCCAAGTCATTTCACACAAATGCAAGGGAGGTAGACAATTACTACCTCCATCTTACATTGCTGTCAGGACTGAGGATGTGGCTTAGTGGTAGAATACTTGCCTACCATGCTCAAGGTCCTAGGTTCAACCTCCAGCTTACACCACACACACACACACACACACACACACACACACACACACACACACACACACACAGAGAGAGAGAGAGAGAGAGAGAGGGAGAGAGAGAGAGAGAGAGAGAGAGAGAGAGAGAGAGTCACAGCAGGGTAGCAGTCAGTGAGTTATTGTCTTATTTTGTCTGTGGAACTATAACAAGATATTTGAGGCTTGGTAATATATAAACTACCGAAATGTATCTCTTTCCTTATAAGCTACCCTTGAACTCTTGATTCTCCTGCCTTAGCCACTGAGATTATATTTATGCATGACCTATACTACCACACCACGTGCTTCTGTCGTGGAGCCTGGAGAGCTCAACATCAAGAGGTGAGATGTTTTCTGGCTGAGCCTTCACAGGTGGAAGAAGTTAGCTAAACTCATGTGAAATTGTACCAGGACTCAGCCCACTGGAGATGGGAGCCTCCAAGGCTTAGTCTCCTCTTTTTTTCTTTATATCACTGAGAATCAAACCCAGGGCCTCACACATGTGTTTTCCCACTGAGCTATAGCTCTTTATTATTTTTATGTTTCTAACAGAGAGTGTCTCTAAGTTACGTAGGCTGGATGACTCCTCAGCTTCATACCCAGCAGGCGGAAAAGTCTTTCAAGTCCAGCTTTAAAACAGGGCAAACCCCGACCTTTCTAGTTGCTGAGAATCTAACGCTTGTTCACAGTACTCCCCTTTTCTCCCTGTCACGTACAGAGTCGCTGGGGCAGCTACCATACCTCCCGAACCAGCAGCCAATCTCTCCAGTCCTATTACAACACGTTCTCATTCGAGAAAGTGGTTTCTTTCTGAGACAAGTGTCCCCTAAGTACCTCAGGCTATAACTCAAGATTCTTCTGTCTCCATCTTGAGAGTGCCGAGATTAAAGGCGTGCACCACCAGACCAGGATTGCAAGTGAAGTTTTTTTTTTCTTTTTAAAATTTATTTATTTTTCTTTCATGTGCATTGGTGTTTTTTCCTGTATGTATGCCTGTATGAGAGTGTCGTCCCCTGGAACTGGAGTTACAGGCAGTTGTGAGCTGCCATATGGGTGCTGGGACTTGAACTTGGGTCCTAGGAAGAGCAGCTAGTGCTCTTAACCACTGAGCCATCTCCCCGGCCCATGAAGTTTCCTTAAAGTCCAATTCTGATTGCATCACCTTGCTTAAATTCTTTGAATGGCCTTCCATTCCCCCATCCATCAAGAGACAGGCAGGAAAGTACAAACTCTCCTGCCTACAGAAGGAGGCTTCCCCAGCTTCCTATGTCCTCCTTCTCAACACCCACCTCTCACTCACCCTGGGCCACAACCAACACTTCCTGGTATGGACTTTGACCTGATCCTTCTGGAATACCTATCCTGGGCTTGGCCTAAGAGAGCCCTTCAGGGATTCCTTATCTGCTAAGTTGGCTCATCACACACATACAGGGACACAGTCTCTCTCTGATGCCAGAGATTGAACGTAGGGCCTTGCACATGCTGCCCCTACGTATGCACAGTCCTGTTTTTACTTTTTATTTTGAGCGTCTCGGTAAGTTGCCGAGAACGGCTCTGAATTCACCTTTTGGTTTCGTTTGCACAGAGTTGGAGCTCACTGGCACGTGCTCTACCACTGGCACGTGCTCTACCACTCTGTAGCTCCGGCTCCTGACTCAGCCTCTTGAATGCTGGGATTTAAAGCCTGTGTCACCAGGCTCTGCAGGCCCACTACTCTTCCCCCGCTCCGCCCACCCCACCACCTCTTGAAGACAGAGTCTCAAGTAGCTCAATCTAGTCTCGAACTCACTATGTAGTTTACGGATGACCTTGAACCCTTGATCCTCCTGCCTTCTCCCGGAGGCTGGTTTGACAGACATGCACCACCACTCCAGGAACCCAGTACGCTTATCCTGCATCCCTGTCCGGACCTTAATTTAGACTGAAGTCTTCCTCCTGGCTCGTGAATGAGAAGGCCTTTATTCTGTGAAGTCCCGGGTCTCCTCCCCGCCACTCTAGGGCCTCGACTCGCGAGGGTGTTTTGGTTCCGGGTCGGGGGGCGGGCCTTCGGAGAGCCCTGCTTCCGGGGCGGGGCCAGCGGGCGGGGCGCGCGCTCTCCCGGCCCGTGTGGAGCTCGGCGGCTGCAGACGCGGCGGCGGCGGCGGCACGGCAGGCGGCGGCCTCGGGAGCGGCAACATGAGCGGTGAGTGGCGGCCCCGCCGCTGTCACCGCCCGGTGGCGCCGCTGCAGCCGCACGCCCCGGGCCCTGTGTCCCCACACCCTGCAACTCCCGCAGGGTCGTTCGCTGGCTCGGGAGCCCTGGCCCTGGGTCTGCTGCAGCGCTCTCACTTTCCCCGGGCTGGCGCTCCTGTCCCTTCGTCCCTTCTTTGACAGCCAACTCCCAGAGCAGAGCTTGCTCCCCAGTCCCTCCCAGGCTCTCCCAGCCCGCCGATCCCCCTGGCAGGTTTCCACACCCCGGACTCCCAGATCTCTGGTGCGTGCCTCAGTCTCTCTTCTTCCGTGGCCCTCCTGGGACCTAGTTCCAGTTACCGGCCCCTGGTTTTCAATCATTCTCCGGTTCAGGTCTCTTATCCCTAGTGACTCCTCTTTCATCCAAAGGCAGTGAGCCTCTCCAGACCCTGGGTTTGCTGGCCCCGAACCCCTGTCCACAGCAGAGCAGAGCGGCAGCTCCCGGTCCCCCGAGGGCGTGTTGTGGACGCTTTGTCTTGGGTTCCTCTTATTCCCTGCACCTGTGTCCCCAGAGCCGGTCCTTTAGTCTCGCAGCTTCCCTCTCCCGGCGGTGTCTTTTGCATTTGGGCTGTTGGTTCATTCTCGAGCTCTCTCCATTTCTTCCCCTAGCTCATCGTTTGAGGTCTCTGGTTGTCCTGAAACCCTTCCCTTCTTGCCCAATGCCGAACCTGTATGGGGCTGATGCCTTGCCCAAGCCAGTACCACTGGCGGGGAGGTGGAGCGGCGGGGAGGTGGAGCGGGTGGGGAGGCTGGAAGTGAGGGGAAGATGGGTGTGGACGGCGTGTGCTCAGTGATACTGAAGTTTAGTCCCTTGAGTCTGTGCCTCCATTCTTGTCTCCCTCTGAAGAGTCCTGATGCAGTTTTGGTGCTAAGTCATTCCTGGGTGTTGTATGTAGACATGGGAGTGACTCAGGAAAGCCTCGTGTTGGCTGTTGACTCTCTTGCTGGACACAGGGATCTGCATTCCCTTAGGAGGACCCGCCTTCCCACATAGTTTGTGCTTTTTTTTTTTTTTTTCCTCACGGTACAGTTGAATTTTAGAGTCCCTGAACCCAGTCCCTAGCCTTTCGTTCAGGTGTTTTTGGGATGGAGAGAGTGCTAGGACAAAGGAGAGTCTTTATTTTTAGCTTTGAAGTTATTTCTGTGCATTTTAAAAAGGATGTTAGATACTTTTTGTTATTCAAGAGCAAGGTTTATGATAAGAACTGATGGTCTTATTGAATGGGCTGGTGGAGGGGTTTTCCTGGGGGAGGTACTTGCATCTGCCAAAGCAAATCGTTGGGTCTAATTAAGGTTTCAGATCCTTGAACGCTAATGATACACAGCAAAGATTTGAGCTGGCTTCCACCAAGAGGTATTGGAGCCCAGCATACTGGGTTCACATCCTGGTTCTACCACATAAAGCTGTATAATTTTAATTAATTAATTCAGTATGTTTAGGCACGTGTGTGGGTGTGTAGGTGTGTTTGCCTGTGCACGTGTGTAGGAGGGCCAGAAATCAACTTTGGGTGTCTTTCTCTATTGCTTTCTCCCTTGTTTGTTGACTGGTCCCAGAGCTCACCATTCCAGCTAGACTGTCTGGCCCTAGAATCTTGGAACTCCTCCTGTTTGCCCCTGTCCACCAGTGCTGGGCTTACAAGAATGCATACATGCCAGGCTTTAACCATGGGTGCTGGGAATCCCGACTAAGGTCCTCATGCTTAAGCAGCATACAGTTTACTGACTGAGCCATCCTTCCAGCCTTTAAAGCTGTGTAAGGTCGAATAACTAACTTGGAATTCTCAGCAAAGTGAGGATGTACCATAGCATCTACCTCCTAGACCAGTAATGATTGAAGGTTGCTCAGCAACACTAATGGGTGATAAGCCTCGTAACGGGGCTCATTGTTAGTGTTTCCATAAAGGTGGAGTTGGGGCTGGGGACAGGCCTGCTTCTTGGCCCATCTGGGACAAGGGTGGAACAAGGCACCCTGAAATTCTTTGGGATGCTGAGGAGTAAACCCAGAGCCTCATATATGCTGAACCTGGGTGCTCTCACTGAAGACACCCTTAGTTAGTCCTCACCTTTCCCTTTTAATGTGACCAAAGGGCCTGCCACAGCCTCAGATTTCTGGAGTGGAAACTCTTTTGCTTTCATTGGAGGAGGAATTGAAATTGAGAAACCAAAGGGAATTGAACAGGATTCTTTCAAGGAGACACTTAGTATCAAAACTCTGCCTCAAGCACTTGCAGCAGATGATGTGAGTTTAACCCTGGGCTCCAGGTGGTGGAAGGAGAGACCTGGCTCCTGCAGGCTGTCCTCTGACCTCCACAGAAACACTGTGGCATGTTGGTGCACACACAAAATAAATAAATAAAAATGTAACAAAAATTCAAGGAAAGTTTCAGGAAGTTTTTTAAAAAGTCATTAAATCCAAAGCCAAATAAATCACATGCAAAAGGAGACTGGAGCAGGAGCCTCCTCACCTCATCACATCCGGTTGTCCTACTGTGTGTTTCCTGTAGATCCTTCGTTTTTTGTTGTTTGTAACTAAGTTCAATGTCCAGGTTCCATAGCCGTGCCATAGCCTGGATTTGGAGTTTATTGCTTTTGGAAATATTGCCATTGATTCAGAAGTGGTCCGCCGAGGGTGAACAGAGAGTCGGGGGTGGGGTGGGGTGGGGTGGGGGTGGCAGGTGGGGGGTGGGACCAAACTCAGGCCCCAATCACATGCTCCATAGCACGTCCAAGCTCAGGGTATTTTTAATTGTTTCTTGAAGACTATGGTTGAAAGTGGCCCCATCCCCCTGCCATGGGATTAATAATTGATGCATGATGAACTTTGAGTGCAGGAGAAATTTCCTTTCTTCTGTTCTCAAGTAGGATTTTCATGCTAGGTGTGTGGTGGTGGCTCATGTCTGTAATTGCAGCCTTCCCAGCACTCAAGGGATAAAAGCAGGAGGATTGCTACAAGTTTGAGGCTTGTCAGGTCTATAGATCAAGGATCAAATTCTCAGTTAGCCTATGTTACATGGTGTAAAGGAAAAAAAAGAATATTAAGACATTTAAATGTGGAATTGTATAATGGACTCTGTTGCCACACTGCTTTGATGGTTGCAGCTGGTGGCGAGTTCATCTGTATCCCTGACTACTTTCTATCCTCTCCCAAGTACCACTCCATTTCATCTGCAAATACTTTTGTGTGTATTCTATCACATTTAGAAGGAATTCATTTTGTGATCATATAAGAAACCAGTGATACCTCAGTAGCACCAACTGTTTAATGTTCAAATTTAAGTGTTTGCCTTATAATTGTTGTTTCATGTTGTAATTTTTTTCTTTTTTTTTTTTTTGGTTTTTCGAGACAGGGTTTCTCTGTGTAGCTTTGCGCCTTTCCTGGAACTCGCTTTGGAGACCAGGCTGGCCTCGAACTCACAGAGATCCGCCTGCCTCTGCCTCCCGAGTGCTGGGATTAAAGGCGTGCGCCACCACCGCCCCGCTCATGTTGTAATTTTAAACTCAGATCTGAGGGTGGCTTGTCTTTTAAATTATTTAGATCTCTTTGGAAGAGATTTTAGGTGGTTTTTTTTTTTTTTTTTTTTTTTTTTTTTTTTTTTTTTGTTCTTTTGGTTTTTTGAGACAGTGCTTCTCTTTGTAGTCCTAGCTGTCCTGGGCTTTGTAGATCAGGATGGCCTCAAACTCAGAGATCCACCTGCTTCTGCCTCCTGAGTGCTGGGATTAAAGGTGTGTGCAAATGCTGCCAGCTTGGTGCAAAAGAGATTTTAAAAGTTTATTTTAGTGCTGTCACAGATTGTACAAACCTCACTGTGATCAATATTAGCAAATTTTCATTGCCCCAGAAAGACATTCTGGGCCCATTAGCAATTGCTTTTCATTCCCCACTCCCCTCAGTCTCAGACAACTGATCTATTTTCTGTCTCTGGATTTTTTTTTCTTCTTATTTTTTTTCCCGACAGTGTCTTATGTAGTCCAGGCAGGTGTTGAACTTATTATGTAGCCCAGGATAGCCTTTACCTCTGATCCCCCTTGCCTCTGCTTCCCGAGTGTGGGGGTACACACCAGGGGCTCTGGATTTTCCCACTGTTTGTATTTCATATAAATGAAACCATAGAACTTTTGTTTTTGTTAACTGAGTATAATGTTCTCAAGGTCCTGCCATGGAGCAGCCTAATCTGTATCCTATTCCTTCTTGTGGCCAAGTGATGCTGTGTTGTGTGGGCATTGCTCACCTGCTGTCTACTCACCAGGGGGTGTGGCCAAGTGATGCTGTGTTGTGTGGGCATTGCTCACCTGCTGTCTACTCACCAGGGGGTGTGGCCAAGTGATGCTGTGTTGTGTGGGCATTGCTCACCTGCTGTCTACTCACCAGGGGGTGTGGCCAAGTGATGCTGTGTTGTGTGGGTATTGCTCACCTGCTGTCTACTCACCAGGGGGTGTGGCCAAGTGATGCTGTGTTGTGTGGGCATTGCTCACCTGCTGTCTACTCACCAGGGGCTGGACTTTGGGTTGTTTGCACTTGGCTCTATGAAGGATGCTGCTGTGGAAGCTCACAGACAATTTTGTGTGTGGGCCCAGTGTCCATAACTTTAGTTAATGTAGGGAAGAGTGGCCCTGCTGGGTTGTATGGAACCACCTGAGGAACCTAATCTGTTTTTCTGCTTACATGCACCAAGAAGGGTTCTGGTTTCTTGAGTCAGCTCCCATCAAGTCTTTGATAGCCTTCTTTCTAGTGGGTGTGAAGTGACACTTCTTTGTGGTTTTGATTTGCATTTTCTTAATCATTCTGAGCATGGCCTCTTGTGCCCACAGGCCAGTTATATATCTTCTCTGGAGAAATGTTTGTTTATATCATCACATCCATGAACATTTTTTTTTCATTTTAATATTTTATGTGTATGGGTATTTTGCCTGCATGTATATATGTGCACTACATGTATGCCTGGTGACCCAGAG